GCTTGGTTGGGAAACCCAGAACACGATGGGGATGAGGTGCGGGATGATGTATGGAAGACTCTAATTATGCATCATGTAATCAATATATTTAGCGTTAAAGTTTTTTCGAGAGAGAGGTTGTTGATCCCCCGTTTATCCGCGCTTGGGACCGGCAAAGCTATGCAACCCACCCAGCTGGGTTATGTTTTTTTTTGCCGAATAGTATTTGCAAGCTTTTATTTAGACTTTGCTGGATCCTTTAACCTGGTTAACTGATTAATTGGCGTGATAGCAAAGAAATTAGTCGAATCTTAGGTTAGTCATTATAGACAAGTATTTTTATTAAAGTTGAAGAAGCAGTTAGTTAGAAGAATAATATCAATAAAACATCGATAACAAGAATGACTTTAATAGGTTCATCGACCGACCCAGAAAACGAAAAAAAAAAAATTGATATCCCGACCTACCTCAAAAAGAGGGTCCGTCTAAATTGAGTCGGTCAGCGATGAAGCAAAAAAAAAGTTCCCTCCGCTGGTTTGGTTGTTTCGCTTTCGAAGAGAGGGGTCAGGCAATAAATTGGACTTGAGGGAGTCGGGCAGAGAGGGGGCGATTTGCATTTTGACGTTCCAGGTTCCAGATAGTCGCCGCCTTCGGACTGAAAATAGGTGATGGTTTTTGTAAAAACGCGCCCCCCAAAAAACACGTACCGTTGGTAATGTAGTAGCAGTGCTAATTGCCGAGTGGGGCGCGGAAATAAACTGCTCCCCCTCAGGTCCCTCCCGGTTCCTACCCGAACCGAGTATCGTCGATCTAACCTTTGAAAACAACATCAGGTGAATTGTGGCGATACCGCCGCTTTTTCCACCTAACCTAAAGGAACAACACGACGATTATTAACTAGTACACGAGTTCTCGTTCGTTTGTGTACACAGAACATGCAAACACCTTTCCTATTCAATTCGAAATTCTTTTCATTATTTTTTATTTTTTTAGTTAATAAAAATGTTTAAAAATTAAGATGGGATGAGAGATACATTTTTTTTTATTTTCTTTAGTAGAAGGTGTTAAAGTTGAGGAGAGTAAGAGTGAAGAACGCCGCCGGTATCTCTTGACTGGTGGAGCTCAAGTCAAGGCACCACAAGCAATAATTGCCATGTTTGCTCAGTAAGGCGGCTTCGAAATCTCGACCGACGATCTGGTGCAATTATTTTTATCGATTCGTAAGTTCACGATTTTGATTCCTTCGGGTCGATTTAACTTTGCTTCAACCTCACTTTAAGTTCCCTTTCTTTCAATATTTCCTTTAACTTAAATATCGTAACATTTTTTATTACAACTTGAATTTATTTATGATTCAAGTCAAATCAAAATCACGTGCGTGATTGTAGCCCTTTTGATCCTTAGGCGCTGTGTGGGGTGTGTAGAATAGGGACTTGCCCTCCTATGTGTCCCTTTCTCTATTATTCAGGTCGACAAGAAACGGGCAAGAAGCGACCCAGTCCTTCCTGAAGACACAGTCCTCCCCGAAACTTAACATACAAAGGGCCAGTCCTGTTATACCCTTTCTTGACGTATCCGCCATGCATATAAAGGATTTATGCAGTGGTTCCAAAACAATTAATCTTACATAATCGCTCAACATCATTTTTAACTAAAAATTGAATTAATTAAATTAAATTAATAAGATTTATAGAAAATATATCGATAAAAAATAATAATAAAATATGACATTTTGAGAGTTACTGGTTTAAGGTCACACCAAGTCCATCCCTTTCCAACAGGAACTAATTACAATGTATGATTAATTATGGGGGTGTCTGGCCACGGGCCGCGACGTTGCTACGTCTTAACTGGCGAGGGTTCGCCAACCACTGTCTTAGGTCGCTAATGTCACCCCGTCCGGAGGCACCACCAACCTTCTCCTCCCCCTCAACGAACGTTTCGAGCCCGGGGACCGCATCGTCCGAACGGGGCACCCTGCGTCAGCACCACTTAAATAATTACCGTAATTAGAGCAAGCCCGTTCTGATAATTGCACTAAATCGGCGGTTTTCTAAAATAAAAAGATTAAAAAAGAGGTGCAGATAATAATAAATATTCCCTAAAGTCGTTATACAATAAAACTTTCAACATGTGAACGTCTGAAGACGCACGGATAAACCCGAAACTTTCTAGTTCTAGATCTAGTGTTAGTTCTAGTTTTAAGTGTTATTAAGCGCTGTTTTCATAATATATAAAATGTTTTTGAGGTTATCTTAATAAGTGTTGTTTGAATCAAAATTTTTTTCGATCAAATCTTATTCAGAATCAAGTCAGTAACAACTTTCATTAAAACATTTTTTTCGAATAATTGATATTATAGAATTAAAAATTTCCCTGTGAAGAGTACGATGAAAATTCAATTTTATCAAAAAAAATCCCGGTTCTTTTAACATATAAGAGAAAATTTAAATTTCTGGTATATAACAACATGAATGAGTTAAATAAATCAGCTTTGCATGAAATAATTAAAACATTCGTTTGAATAGAATTCTATTTAGTACAATATGAAGTTTTTCTAGAATAGGTATATGTAGATTTCAATATAAATTTTCTCGTATTCTGGATGCATCCACATCTAAATTCCTTCTCTAAATTTATTTAGTAGAAATCATTAATTTCTTGTCATCACGTCCTAAATAACACATTGACTTTAATGAAAATATATATTACCATAGAAACTTAGAGCGTACCTACTTACTTTGTCCCACATAAAAAGAAACATGTCTGATTGTTTCTAGTTTTATGTGAGTTCTAGTGACAGTGGTAGGTAGCGCTAGTTAACATAAGATATCACTATGTTACGTATTTTTAATGAACTAAAACTAGAACTAACACAAGACCTAAAACTAGAATCATTCGGGTTTAGCCGCACGTTTTTAAAGACGGCTAAACACGAATGATTATAGTTTTAGGTCTTGTGTTAGTTCTAGTATTGCACTATCACTAGAACTAACACAAGACCTAAAACTAGAATCGTTCGGGTTTAGCCGTCTTGAGAGACGTGCGGCTAAACCTGAATGATTCTTGATAATTGTTTTTGGTTTTTCTTAACATTGTGTTGATTTAGATGAAAATACTTTTTTCTATACTTTTTCAATGTTATATTTATTTAAGTTCTCTATTCGACATGTTTCGAGGATCTAGTAGTCCTCATCTTCAGGAAAATTCGTCAATTTTTGAATAAAAGATAACCATATCCCTCGGATTACAATTCAAAATTCTTAGGACTAAACAATTAAAACGGAAATAAACTATTAAAATTGAATCGGAAGATTCTGGAATTCATCGGCGTTTTGAATTGTAATCCGAGGGATATGGTTATCTTTTATTCAAAAATTGACGAATTTTCCTGAAGATGAGGACTGGATCCTCGAAACATGTCGAATAGAGAACTTAAATAAATATAACATTGAAAAAGTATAGAAAAAAGTATTTTCATCTAAAAAGAATCATTTGGGTTTAGCCGCACGTTTTTAAAGACGGCTAAACACGAATGATTATAGTTTTAGGTCTTGTGTTAGTTCTAATATTGCACTATCACTAGAACTAACACAAGACCTAAAACTAGAATCGTTCGGGTTTAGCCGTCTTGAGAGACGTGCGGCTAAACCTGAATGATTCTAGTTCTAGGTCTAGTGTTGGTTCTAATGCTAGTGTTAATTCTAACTTTAGTTATTATATTCATTGTTGTATATTTTTAACTTATACAAGACCTAGAACTAGAATCATTTGGGTTTAGCCGCACGTTTTTCAAGACGGCTAAACACAAATGATTATAGTTTTAGGTCTTGTGTTAGTTCTAGTATTGCACTATCACTAGAACTAACACAAAACCTAAAACTAGAATCGTTCGAGTTTAGCCGTCTTGAGAGACGTGCGGCTAAACCTGAATGATTCTAGTTCTAGGTCTAGTGATGGTCCTAATGCTAGTGTTAATTCTAACTTTAGTTATTATATTCATTGTTGTATATTTTTCATTGAATTAAAACTAGAACTAACACAAGACCTAGAACTAGAATCATTCGGGTTTAGCCGTCTTGAGAGACGTGCGGCTAAATCCGAATGATTCTAGTTCTAGGTCTAATGTGAGTTCTAGTAAGAGTGGTAGGTAGCTCTAGTTAACATAAGATATCACTATGTTGCATATTTTTATTGAACTAAAACTAGAATTAACACTAGACCTAGAACTAGTAACAGACGCACGGCTAAACCCGATACTTTTTAATTCTAGGTCTAGTGTTAGTTCCAGTTTTAATTGTTATAATATTCTGTTCTAACGAGAACCGTTATGTAGAAGTTTTCATGTATAATCGAAATGTTATATCAAAGAAAAGATTTCTTATTAAATGTAATGAGGAGAGGCTTAAAGGAAAAATAAAAAAAAGGAAGTGATGGACGAAAAGTGTCTGACGTGGGGCAAACGATTCCGTCACGATGTTTGTTCGGGGGGACGTTCGTTATGACAGCGTGTATCTGATGACTTCTCTCGGCGTCGGTCGACGTTTATTATTATTAAGCGTTAGTGCGGCGCGGCACTTCGTACACCTCGAAGTCCACGCGATAAGGTGTCAATTTTTCGCACCCGACCGTATTTGCCGATCGTTCGTTTAGATTCCGAGAAGAGAGTTTAAACCCGCGCGGCCCGTGGCCATTCGCCCCCATAAATTATCCATCGTTGGCGTTATTGGCGTATAATTAACCGTCCTCTACTCTCTTGTTCCAACTTTTTTTTCTTAATCTATCTTCAAAAAACAATATTATAACATATAAGCATAATCGTACAAGAAGTTTTGAAATAATAAAACATTTTTCGGTAATCAATAATAAATGTTACACAAAGATTTCTGGTAAATAACTCAAGGTCACTTGAGGCCGAGACGCTACATTGATACAATACTCACCATAAACTTCTCCTAAATCTAAGTGTATGTGCACATCAACCCCAAAACAAGGTTAAACAAGGAAATGTTGATATTGCCGGTGAATCAATAGAAGTAGAATCTGAAACAATTTTATCAAAAATTGAATTCTCATCGTACTGTTCACAGGGAAATCTTAGATTCTATAATATCGGTTATTCGAAAAAAATGTTTTAATGAAAATTGTTACTGACTCGATTCTAAATAAGATTTGTTCGAAAATTTTTTTGATTTAAACAATAATTATTAAGATAATCTCAAAAACAATTTATTATGTATACAGGGTGGTTCAGTTTTTAATCGGGAACCTTTACCAGGATGTAATACTTATCAAAATAATACAAGTTTTTTATACAAACATAGGGTCGCAACTCTTTTGTTTTCGAGCTATGAGCTGTCAAAGTTGCGCCAAAAATTTACATTTTATCTTTTATTTCGGGTGTAAAACTAGAACTAAGTGTAAAACTTAGTTCTAGTTTTACATTAGCATTGTTACTAGAACTAACACTAAACCTGGAATTAGAATCATTCGGTTTTAGCCGTCTTGAGAGACGTGCGACTAAAACCATATGTTTCTAGATCTAGCGTTAATTCTAGATGTACAGCATTGTTACTAGAGCTAAGTACTAAATATATATACAGGGTGATTCACATAACATGGGACATGTAGAGGACAATAAATTAAGATGATTTAAAGTAACTTACCTCTATACTAAGTTGTACACCTGAGGAGTTATAGGACTTCAAAGTTGGCTCTTAAATTTTTAAAAAGTTCAATATCTTCGTAATAAATTAAGCTAGAAAAACCAAAGTTGGTATACGTTATGAGTGTACCAAGAGTATTAATTGGTAGCAAATTGAACTCAATTGAGGCATTTCAAAGTGTTGATTAAGGGGATTTTATACATTACTACTTCATTTCATGTGGAATTTAATTCTAAAACTTTTTTTACTCTTAATATTTTTTAAAAATCTTTGTCGTTTTCATAAAAAACTTAAATAACTAAAGACACTTATTTCGTAATGTTACTTAAAATAAGCGAAAATTCGTAGTCGGCTATGAAATTGTACGTCAAACTTGACAAATAGGTTATAAAATTATTTGACAACAAAGTTTTATAACCTATTTGTCAAGTTTGACGTACAATTTCACAGCCGACTACTGAATTTTCGATGATTTTAAGTAGCATTAACGAAATACGTGTCTTTAGTTATTTGAGTTTTTTATGAAAACGACAATGTTTTTTAAAAAATAATAAGAGTAAAAAAAGTTTTAGAATTAAATTCCACATGAAATGAGGTAATAATGTATTAAATC